TGTCTCATCTGACTGGCCCGCCCAGCGACATTGCTGTTGTTATTTGTGCTCGCTTTAATCGCATTGAATCAAAGCTAGCTTGGGTGTTTCTACATATGCGCCAATCTCACTGCCTGATTGCAAGTCAGACATTCCACAGGTTCCCTGGCCCGCCTGGGACTGAAAACAATGTGACTGTTGGAGAAGGAAGGGAAAACAGGCCCAGGCCATAAAGTAGCGACAAAGAGAGGCTGCAGGCCCAGTCCAGGGGAATCTATGCTAGCATGAAGTGATCTCCTCATGGTAGGTTCTAGTCATAACTGTGGTGGTCATATGAGCAAAGCCCTCACCCTTCCCGGTCTTCTCCCTCCACGCATCTGTTTCTCCACCTCACTGTCCCCTTTCACCTCTGCTGATCTACTGCTTTCAGCTGGAGTGCCTGACAAGGAATGCTAGCCACGAGGAGCAGAGTCACCCCGGAGCTCTTTGTAATGTTTAGTCTTTAATTAATTGCCAAGTCGCACTGACACCCCAAGGGAGAAGAGATCCCAAGAAATCAACGGCAGCTGCTTCTGAGCTTTCTAAGGGCCACGTGGATCTAAGCTGCCTCATACTGTCCTCTTTGCTGGCACAGCTGTTCCCTTGAGAGGCCAGCATTGGTTCGCAGGAGGGGTGAGGTTGTGGGCAGGTTCAGTTGCAGGTCCAAACTAATTCATTTGACAGCTGATGGATTGATTGATTAAGTATGAATAAAACAAGCCACCAAAAGGAGCCCTTTGCTCCACCCCTGAATTGTTTGCAGACCATCCTCATCTTCCCAAATTAGCGTCCCTTTGTGCTAGCTACTATATATATACACAGAGTGAGAGACACTCTCTGCCCCTAAGAGTTTATAGTCTAAATAGACAACGGATGGGAGTGAAAACAGAGGACTACAGAAATTAAACAACTTGCCGAAGACCCAGCTAATCCATGACATGGCAGAGCCTAGAACCCATAATTCTTAACCCAGTAGTTAGTGCCTTATCCACTAAACCACGTCACTCTCCAAGAATCTGTCTATACTGCAAAGAAAACCCTGTGGCAACAAGTCTTGCCACGGGTGGTCAATTGACTCAGGCTCGTGGGCAAAAAATTGCAGTGTAGCTGTTTGGTCTTGGGCTGGAGCCTGGCCTCTGAAACCTAGCAAGGGTCTCAGACCTGGGGTTCAAGCCTAAGCCCAACCATCTACACTGCGAGTTTTAGTCCCACATGCATCAGTTGACCCTGGCTCTGGACCTCAGAGCCGTGGGTTTTTCTTTGCAGCACAGACAGACCCTGAAGGGCTCTGTACGCACTGAATGGGTGGCACAAACAATTTGCAGCCTATGACCTGTTCATTTCAACAAGGCCCTCTTAGCAATTGGGTCTCACTTTACAGTGTTGCCTTTGTCAATAGTTTTAAAAGGGTCAATAAATGACAAATGGCCCTTTAACAGTATGAAATAGCCATGAAATGCATGTGTTGTAGAGGGTTATTGAGTTGGCATGCTCTTTGAGGTGGGGAACCATCGTTTAGGTCTGTGGGGTCCTGGGCCATGACTGGGACTCCGATTTGCACTACACAGATAAATAAATACTTGTGGATGGGGATAGTCATACCACAGATAGCCAAGCCCCTAAGACCCATAAGGTCAACCCCCCCCCCCCCCGTCTCCCCCGCCTGTGTGTGTTTTCATCAATACCCAGCGATCAGGACTCTCGGGGTATATTCCAGGCGAAGAGGGGCCCTCACAGACTGCCTAATGCAGCCTGTTGATTACCCCACAAACTTTACCCAGGTAGAGTACCTGCCCCAAAAGCATAAAGAATTTGCTTGGTCTCAACTTATACCCATGAAGACGTCAGCATAATAGCAGCACGAGTGGCATGACCCAGGCTGGAATAATGGAGGTGCTGGATAGCAGCAGGGCAGGCTGGGGTGGGGGGGGAGCGGATGGATCAGTGCAGGGACTCAGGGTTGGACAAGTAGGACGTGCTTCAGTTGAACACCGATAAAACCATGACTGTGGTTGGTCTGGCTCATCTATGTGTATTGTTGACATAGGTGTTACAATTATAAGAATGTGTTTAGTCTTTAGACTATTGAATGCTTCTGAACTGCTGCATTCATTAAGCTCATTTATAGCAGTTGTATCTCACAGCGTAAGGTAATATTTGAGCAGTTGTATGATGAGCCTCTGTGACTGTAAATCACCAGACAGGAGGGAGACATTAACTTGTGTGAAGTGCTGGTCTCCAACAGAAGGTGTTACATCCTGCCCAATGGGAAAGGTTCATTGACACCAGACGGATTATCATGGGATGTTAAAGAGGACAAAAGACCTTTGTGGTTCCTCCCTCCCCCAATGAAGAGGCATCATGCAAGTGGATTCCTTCCATCAGCTGACTTTGCTGTTCAGAGTACAAGGGAGGAGGGGGATAAAAACTCCTAAGAAGAAGGAACTGGGTCTCTGTGCTGCTTGGACTCCGGGGGGGGATGTGGGGGGAGCAGGTTTCTTAGGCATAAGCAAGAGATCCCCAGTGCTCAGCCTGGGTTAGTCCTAAAGCCCCATTAGAAGCTTCTATAAATAGCAAGCTTTTTTTTTTTAACTTAAGAGTGTAAGTCATTTGTGTGGCTATGTTTACCTGCTGTAACCTCGTAAGTTACTCTCATTTCCTTTTCCTACTTAACAAATCTTTACATAGTTTAGTAAATCGGCTACAGATGTTGTCTTTGGTGTGAGATCTAAGGAGCAACTGACCTGGGGTAAGTGACTTGTCTTTTGGGACTGGGTTGTAACCTTAATATTGCAGTGATTCTTGGTGCAAGGGATCAGCTATCACAAAGGCGGGCTCACGTGGGTGGCGAGCTCGATCGGAGTGCTCCATGGGGACTGTGTGACTCCATGTTAAAGCTGTTACAGTGCCCGAGGAGTTTACACTTGATAACAAATTGGTAATATATTGGTTAGTCTCTAAGGTGCCACAAGTACTCCTTTTCTTTTTGCGAATACAGACTAACACGGCTGTTACTCTGAAACCTGTCACTTGATAACTGTATAGAACTCAGAGCCAACTGGGGGGTTGTGCCTGGCTTCCTAACAGTCTGCCCTGAGGTTGGGCCTCACGCTCTTGGGTCACTGCAGGCAGCTTTACAAGCTCAGAGTGGTTTTTCCCTAAACCTGGTGTTTAGAATCTTGCCTTTCATTGCTAACCAGCCACCACTGACTGAGCCATGTCAGACACATCAAGCGCTTCCTTCATCTCTCCTGGCACCATTTCCCCGTGCACCTTCCTGCCCACGGGGCTCCAGCAGAAAAGGCCATTAGAAGCAGTTTTGATCCCAGTGCTGGGGCCGGTTGACAGCCTTGCAGGCCGGAGGCCTTGTCTGGCTACAGAGCAGGCAGCGTCAGGGCAAGCTGCTCCCACTCTGCTTTGCCAGCACGCCTCATCCCTGCTCTGAGGGAATCCCACATGGAGGGAGAGGACAGGAGCGGCTCTAGCCATTTTGCCACAGCGCCCGAGCCAGGAAACCCCCAAACAGCCAATTAGAGCACACACAAAAAATAAAAAAGCCCCAGGATGTGACACCTACTGGAAGTGGGTACCCCAGGTGACCACACTGCTTGCCCGCCCCTAGAGTCGGCCCTGTGAGAGGGTGGCTCTGTCTCCATGGCCCAGCCTATCCTTGGCCTCTACTGAGTCTGCCAACCAGGGGGCCTCTCAGCATCCATTGGGATGAGAGAGGAATCCGGCGCTTTGTACTTCAGTGGAGCCTCTTCAACTGCAACCCGTTCAATCCACTAGTGCAGTCAAGGCCCACACCTCACCTCACTCATTTCCAGGCCAAAAGGGACCCTCATAAGCATCTAGTCGGACTTCCTGCAAAACACAGGCCAGGGACCCTCCCCCCGAAATTCCTGGAGTGATAAGGGCTGGTTGAACTAGAGCACATCTTTCAGAAAGTGAGCCAGGGTGGGAACTGCAAACACCCTCGCGTCTCAGGGTACATCGGGAGGTGTAAATTCCAGCTCGAGGAGCCATACCTACACTAGCTCTGATCTGTGTGGCAACACAAGCAGCCGCTTGGGTACACCCCTGGTGTCACAGACAGGTATGTATTCGGGGGAGCTAGCCCCTCCCACACCACCATGGCGACCCTATTTTTAGCACGCTAGCTTGCTCAGAGCTAGTGTGGGTATGTCTCAGTGAGCTGGGGACCACACCCCAGCTCAAAGTGTAGAAGTGCCCTCAAAAGCCATTGAAATTTACGCTTCTAAATCACTTGGTTACATTTGAAAAATCCCACCTGTGATCTTGAATTTCACACCTTCACATACTGGAGAATCCACTGCATCCTAGGCACACTGTACGGCTTTTCGGTTTTAATGGAGAAACACCAATAAAATACCCCAGGACAAAAATATCTAAGAGCTTGTCACGCAGACTACAAGGATGTGATTCCTAGAGCTCACAAACGTGTGGTGCATTAATTGATCCATGTGTCTCCCTGTTGGCGGTGGGTACTAAAGGTTCCCTACGGCATTTTAACATAGTGTGTTACTATGTTAAAGTACACAAGGGAACATTACAAAGTGACCACTCATTACAGTATATACTGCTGTAATGAGCAATGTATAAGAATATACAAGGAAAAAGTCTTGCATCCTCCCAGATTTTTGGACATCTTCATAAATCTCAAAGTTATCAACACCCCATGAAATTAACAAACCCTGAAGAACAGAAGCCCTATTAATAAACCTCCCTTAAAAATGTGCACCTTATTTCTAGCCTGAATGTATCTCATTTCAGCTTCCAGCCACTGGATCTTGTTCTGCTTTTGTCTGGTAGATTAAAGAGCCATTTGCTAGTAGAAACCTTTTCCCCACACAGGTACTTATCAACTGCGATCAAGTCACCTCTTTGCCTTCTTTTTGATAAGCCGAAGAGCCTCCCTTGAGCCAGCCAGCGACATGTACCAATAAAAGACAAATGCGGAGTGCAAAACCATGGTCTTTTATTAGAAAGTTCCTCGTATAAAAATGATCATGCTCTATACTTTTCATCGAATAATTCATAAACATCCAGGCACTGAACTTAGGGGTTTTTTTTGTTGGGTTTTTTTTTTTGATTGGTCAGTACATAAAGCAGACATAATTCAATCCATATGGTCATCACATACATCAATTGTACCACCTATAGAAATCAGCACTTTGAACACAGTCTAGATTTTATTTTAATTTTTTGTTGTTGTTTTTTTTTAAATCTTTAATTTTTTTTTTTTGCAACACATAGAACTTGGAGAAAAAGAGAGATAAAAAGTGAAGAGAGGCAGAGGAAGAAGACAACAAAAGAAAAATGGAAAATGAACAAAATAAAAAGAGAGAGAAAGTGAAAGAGTCTTCACAACCACAAACGATCTCACAAATTGTGGAAAAGGGAAAAGGTATCTGCATTTTTTTTTTTTTATTTTTCCAAGATACAGGAAAAAATCCCCCAAAGATTTATTAAAGTCTGTCACCTCCGCCCCACTGTACGTGCACCCTGGTCGGTTGTTCCTCTTCCTCCTCCCGAGAGGCGTGTGTTTTGATGTTGGTTGGTTGGTTGTTTTTTTTGCCGACGTTAATGGCCGTCTTCCCAAGCAGCATCCTCCACCAGCCCAGCCAGTAGAATTAGGCACCCACAATGCCGTCTTCCAATCGAATCCAACTTCCCCACCCCCCGACTTCCTGCGATGAGCAACGTGATTCAACTCTCCAGCTTCTCCTCCTCCTCCCCAGCAACTCCTCCCGGGGTAGTTATGATCAGCTGGAGTTAAATTGCGTGGTTGCTATAGCTGACGTAAGTCTGTTTGGTAGCCAGAGCTGGAAGGAGAGAGAAACCACATATGTATCATTAATGAAGCCTTCCTGTACCATGACCTTGAACAGACCTTTACGCCACTACAGCTTGGGTGGGCATATGAGATAAGGCTCAGTCTCTGCAGTGGTGCTGGAACCATTTTTATAGTGGGGGTGCTGAAGGCGGAAACCATGTATTTGGGTTGTAATTGCTACTTCAAGCCGGGGGTGTGGTAGCACCCCTAGGTCCAGCACCTATGAGTCTCTGAAGACTGCCAGGCAGAGATACATCCTGCTGCATCCAGGGTCAATTCTGCAGCTCCATGCAAAGGCAGTGAGCCATGGCCTAGATTGCAGAAGTGCTCAGCTCCCGCTGGACCCAAGGAGAGTCTCAGACGTTCAGCACCTCCGCAAATCAGGCTGTGAGGCCCCAGTTCTACAAGGCCCAAGATGCAGGGGGAAGACCGCCCTCCACCTGCCCCACACAGGATGCAGAGGGTGGAGTCTCAGAGGTGCCAAAGATGGGGAGAGAATAAGACGAGCATCCAGAACAGATGCCTGTGTTTGTGGAGGGAGTTCAGGGAAGAGTGGAGGGAGGTTTCATGGGAAACAGGACGAGGCGGGATCCAGTGATATACTCTAGCCAGTGACAAAGAGGGAGATCATAGAATATCAGGGTTGGAAGGGACCTCAGGAGGTCAGCTAGTCCAACCCCCTGCTCAAAGCAGGACCAATCTCCAACTAAATCATCCCAGGTGACTCCCATGTCCTGACTCCCCAGGGATCTCAAGCCACAGAGCTCCGAGCCAGCAGGAGGCAGCTGGTATTTAACCCTTGTGACACTGGACTGTGAGCAGCAAACATCACGCTAACCCTGGTGGGGCCCAAAGAACCAGAGACAGTCCTCCTGCAGCCAGTGGTTTGGAAGCCTCACCTGGACGAACCCTGACTACAGATAATTGGGCTATCTCTGGGTGTTCGGGTCTGGCTAGACTAGGGAAACGTGCCCTGGCTGCAGTTGTGGCAATGAGGTTACATCTGTGCAAGGCCCCAACGCACCCAAGCAACACAGGGCTTGCACCGTGTACAACTTGCCACCCCCTCACATCAAGCTGTTCCGCCTTGCACCGCGGCAGCTCATCCGCACAGGTGTAGAAAACAACAAACCCGGGAGAGCGAGTGCCTTAGGCGAATGGCCTGCGTTTCATGAGAGTGGCGCTTGAACGGCGACTGAAGTCAGCGGGCTGGCTTCTCAGCCCCCCTGCTCCTTGCGTAGTCAGGTACAGCAGTGTAACGTGCGAGCAAACTCTACCCTGCTGGCTTGGGAGCATTCCCAATCCACTAGACATGGGTGGAAGGGGAAGGGCAGCAGAGAATCAGGCCCAATAGGATCAGCACCTCTGACAATGAGCCGCTTGGTCTCCAAGTGCTGATCCATGACAAAAGTTCAGGAATCAAACTCCTTCAGCGAACATCACTCTCTTAGTTTTAGGCCGAGCTCCCAAGACAAGGGGGGTTTTAAAAGGAGTCCAGACTGGCAGCTTTAGCCAAACATTTAAAGAAGCCATGCATCCAAATACCATTTAACCCGTAGGACCCTGTTATTAACAAATTAAAGTGAATGTGGTGCTTTGAAAAATGGATATTATTATTTCTTATTTATATTACCCTCATGCCTAGGAGCCCCACTCACTGCCCAGGACCCCATTGTGCTAGGGGCTGGACAAACACAGAACGAAAAGTAGCACTGCCTATGTTTGAATATCATCAAAAGCCCTGTAAAGTCAGATTATTAATATTACCAGCCAAAGCAGAAAAGTTCATCTCAGATTTAGGATCTTATGAGAACTGAAGCTGGAGCAGACCCACTACAAAAGCCAATATGCTCATTGTGAGCCCTCTGGGCAGAATAAGGCAGGAGTGGGCTGTACCCAGCTTCTAACTCTCCTGTGTGGGCCACTGGCATTGCCAAAGATCACGTGGAGATAGGGGCATGAAAACAGCTCCTTCTCTCACTCCTGTGCAGGTGCGCAGGGAGTGAGTGGGCAGCAGTGGGCAAAACCTTGGCTCCATTGTATCCCTCCCCTCCCCAAACACACCAGCAAGCGCAGCAGAGCTGGACCCTAGAGAAGGCCCACGCTTTGGGGACAATCCCTCAGGTAGCGTGAATAGAAGTGAGCAAAGGTGGAGTCAGAAGTCAGCGAGCAGCTGCACTTGGAGAATCAGGCTCAGCCGGAGCAATTCACCTCTCCCCGGCCGGGGGTAACATGCATTAAACTGAATGCATCCGATGAAGTGAGCTGTAGCTCACGAAAGCTCATGCTCAAATAAATTGGTTAGTCTCTAAGGTGCCACAGGTACTCCTTTTCTTTATGCATTAAACTGTGAGCGATTTCCAAAGAAAAGGCAAATGATTTCCCAGGTTGGTCTCAGGGCACCAGAGTTTGCATGAGTTACAGGTAATTAAAGAGACATTTCCCAATGGGAACCTGCTTCTTTTATGGTAACAGATTAACCTCATGGGGACAGAGAAAGCCCCCAGCCACCCCCCACCACCCCCACATCCCTCCTGTATTGGCCCCTTTGAAGTTCCAGTGTGAACACATGGGCCTGATTCTCAGTTGCTCTAAGGAGCTTTAACACTGCTTGAATAGGTAGAATTGGATCCCTGAGAAGCCCCCCCCCCCTCCCCTTGGGCTCAGCTCCAGCTGGTATAGAGATGGTGTAAGGACTCTACCCCAGCCCTGCTCCCAGCTCCCAGCATTGGAGATGGATCAGGGGCATGGCCATCTCCATCTCCTGCAGTATGTCTGTTCTCCGCTTCTCAGGGCCCAGAGGCTGCTGTAATTTACACCAGGAGCTGGGCACAGCTCCACATGGCCCCAGAATATGGGGAGCACAAAGGTGGCTTAAAATCACCTTTGCTTTCCCCTCTCTCCACTTCAAAAGCAGGAATGGGATAGCAGAGAAGCAAGGCATGTAACTCTATGGGATCATCTGTTGGGCCGAGCAAATCTTGGGGAGCGGTTTTGGTTTCTGCAATACCCTGAAAATTGGGATTTGGTCTTGAAAGAACCAAACTCCATGTGCTTTGACCCCAGAGTCCATCTTCACTGAACCCCCTTCAGGTATCAGGGCGTGGGGTTTAGGGGGTTCTCTCCAGGTCTGGAGCACTGTGACTAGAGAAGGGGCTGGATCAAAGCTTTAGAGCTGAACTTTTGGGAAGTTCCCAGGTGCGTCTGGATCCAAATTTTGCAGACAACACCCAGATCTGTATTGCAAATGGGCCCAGGTCCGAGCTCCCTGCTCGAACCTGTCTGGAAAGCAGGCCTCTGCAGGTGGCAGGGTGTGTGACCCAGCTGAGGGATGCGCGACTCGCTTGTTGAGCTGCCCTGCTAGCAGAGTAAGAGCCCTGCCTAAAGTTGTTGAGTCAGTTTTGCTGTCTTGTGGTGGCAGATGAAGCCTGTAACGCCACAAAAACTGGGACCATTTGGATTTAGATCTGGATTCTGCTGCTGTTAGTTGTACCATGGCAGTGCAGAGAGGCCAAGTCCCCTTTGTGCTAAGCCCAGTACAATGAGATGGTCCCTGCCCCAAAGTGCTAACAATCTCTGTTAGTTCAGCAGTGTTTGGATCCAGGGTTTTGATTGGGACAATTCTGGAGACGGAGGGCCTGGTTTTCCTCTGACTGACACTGGGGTAAATCAGGAATAATCACTTCAGTTTAACAACAGGGCCACTTCAATCAGTGATGTTGCCCTGTTGTTAAACTGGTGTAAGTGAGAGCAGCACCAGGCCCACAAGCATGGTCGAGATCCATAGCTCGGACCTGTGGTTTTGGTTCTGATCCATCTCCAATGCACGGGGGATGGCACCAAAACCTGGACTTCCAAACTTGGAAGGAGTTTGGCTCTGACTATTGCAACTCTGGGCCAGATCCTCAGCAGGTGTAAACCAACAGAGTTGCATTGACTCAGACAGAGTGATGTTGATTTATTTACCCCAGCCAGGGATCTGGTCCTTTCTCAAACCCCTTCCTTTAAAAGCTAAGGATGTAGGTGGCACTGTAAACAGCTCCCTTTGTGGAACAATTTGGAGGCTATTTATTTGTCCTGTAAATGATATGAGAGAGAGAGAGGATGGAGTGTGTGACCTGCTCTGTATTTCAAGAGGGATTCTAATTAGAAGAGTGTCTGTGGAAAAGTTCTCCTCTCCAGTGAGATTACTTTCATGTGAATATGCCCTGGAACCGGCCCTCAATTACGGCTTTAAGGGGAAATATCTCCAGCTGGAGGAAGCTGGAGCTGACCCTTCCTTTGAAGAAGATCAGAGCTAGTGGACCAGCCTCCCCCTCCCTTGTCAGTTTCAAAAGCCTGAGCATCAGCCTCCCCCCATCCCTCTGATCTGTTTCAAAGCTCCCGCAGAGGTGGGGCCTGTGCAGTAACTGACAGACCCAAGACTGGGAGCCTGAAGCCGGAGCTGTAACGCTGAGGGGGGTATGGCAGTGCTGGAATTGGTCAGGTGGAAGGAGGGGAAGGGTACAAGCGCAGAGAGAGAGCAGGAAGCTTGTATCACCCCACACAGCTCAGATTCGGTGCTCGGCTCCCATGTCTCAAGACAACCAACTTAAAGTAGGGTAAAGTCAGGGTGCAGATCCCCACTCACTCAGTCACCAGGATCACCTCCATTTCAGGCTCCAGCTAGCACGTCTGTGGGTGCCAGCACATGACCTCATTTCCCTAGATGGCTCGTCTACAGGGACTCAACCTGGGACCGCTACATAAAAACAAACAAACAAAAAACCCCAATGATCTGGCTGCTGTCTGAGCTAAAGGGCCAGGTCTATTAGCATGATGATCTTAGCACATTCATAAACCTTTCACGTGGGCTGGCCACGAGTGGGGAACAAAGACATGCTTGGCCAGTGCCTTAGATCTCCAAATCGAGATGCGCCCCGTGCTGCTCAGCAACCTAACCCACGAGCGGCCGACCTGTGGCCCAGTGAACATATGCAGCCCTCAGGA